TAGACACGAATCCAAAGGAACGGCATTCATTTTAGTCTCGTCCGACAAAGGAGACTAACTCCATGGAGCAGAGTCATTTTTGAGAAGCTAGGGGTCACTCCTTTAGTCAAAACTTCTCCGACTTTTGTGGAATTCGAAGGTTCATGTCATATCCTCACGCACCCGACACTGGAGCCAGATGAATCCACTACGAATCCTCCGCCATATATTTTTATTTTTTATTCTAACACTCGTATTATCCTCCTATCTACATCTAGACTTCCACAGCTGTCCCTTCCGTTCAGGTTTTCCCAAGGTAAACTAACCTTAAGTTATCCCCTAATATAGTTCCGTGGAATTTTCCAACATTCATTAAAACTCGTAAGAAGATACTGGACCTTACCAATCTGTGAGCCGACTATCTAGAGAAAATGTGGGAGCCTCAACTTTTCACAACCCTATGGGCCACCACGGCCTGATAAGGGGATACCTTTACTTTACTTTAAGAAGGTACTGGAGCCAGTAGCATGTCTAGGGTTTCAGTTATAGTACCGGTGGGTTGAAAAATGCCAGTAGAAACTTTCTGAGAAGGAAATTAAGAAATGCAGTCTTCACGCCATATCGTTCATTTGATAAGGTAGAGGAATTTAAATTCTTAAACTGAACTGGCGTTTTGCTTTTTTCGGATCATTCTTTCGCCGATTCGAACGTGGCAACAACGCGAATTCTTTAATAGTGGGAACACTTAGCGCTTCTTAACACATGTTTTCTTTTTCAGACATTCCATGTGTCCAAGTACGTCCTAAGTAGGTAAAAGGTGTGATAGCCTAGTAGTTTGTTTTAGAATTGACGCAATTCAGGCCCTGAACAAGCTCACTAGTCCATGATTATACTAGCTGCATGAACGCTGCCAGGGGCTCTCTTTTCTGATCGGGGGAGGCAGGAACTTTTATTCCAAACTTACGGTTAAGCCGTTTAAGAGCATTTTTGCTAGTCGTCCTGGAGTTATTGATCTCTATATTGAAACACAGATAGCGCTCGGTCCTTGGTTAGTTGCGTTCCTCTGAAAAGTCGGTGGACTTCTAACGAAAGAAATGTGCATCGCTATATTTCAGGCAACCGTTGTACTCTTTATGGTGAAATGTTCCAAATATTTCTGACTTAGAAAGGAATCTCGGAGTATTCTTACCCGAGAGAAGAACTCAAAAATTTTAATTGATAAATAAGAATTACAGAGGACCAAAACAGACCAGCATTAAATCAGATTTACATCTTCTGATGTCAGCTCCTCAGGATCAAATGTAATCGAAATTCGTTAAGATTTCTGAAGTTTAAATATATGGGGGACAGACGGACACGACTTCCCCCCCTAATGCTTTTAGTTCACACATTTCATATAAAATATGCATTTACCCCTTTGATGCATGACGGCCCTCTAAACAACATACAGAAATTAAATCCCTACCTCACAGGAAATACACTGGGCCTCTAATACAAAGATCAGTGGGTTAATTCTGTTTACGAAATTATCGTTGTTTATTCCAAGAATGATACAAACACATAAACACACTCTGAGAAAAATGGAGATGATTTTGGTGTTAAAGCAAGTGGTACATAAAGTACCCACAGTTCTTTAAAGGGGTATACTTTCATTGAGATTTTGCATCATTTACCCTTTTCTATAGTAGTTTATTGAAAATGATTATATAATGCTTGGATGTCTTGACAACTTGCGATGTCTGCGTGAGGCCTGATTATTTACTATATTGGACCAATGATGTATGATGTGTGGTCATCATGAATTTGTAATGTACGTGTATTACACAGTTGAATGAATGAATGAATGAATGTATGCATAAGGGGTGGGCCTTCTTGGCCCTTGCACCGCGACCACAGTGATCTATTGTGCCACAAAAGGTATGACATAGTTTATATCCAGCCCTTTGGGGAGGTGATTGGATCGATGAAAATGTAAATGAGTTAAGCAGTAGAAGAGATCACGAGAGAGGGAGGGGGCGGCAGAAAGAGAGAGATTTACTTTAGCTGACAAAGTTTTTTTTAGTTTTTTTTTTGCTACTGGGGTGGGACTAAGTCCCTTATACTGCGGCCACTTCTGGCCTATTGTACCAGCCCCAGATGATAGGTGAGGGTGATTGTGGAGCAATTGGTGGAATGAAGATTGGCAGGGTAAACCGAAGTATTCGGAGAAAACCTGCCGCAGCGCCAATTTGTCCACCACAAATCCCATTTGACCAGACCCGGGATCGAACACGGGCCGCCGCGGTGGGAAGCCAGCGACTAACCGTTTGAGCTGTGGCGAGGCCAGTTGACAAAATTAATCAACATATGAGATATCACACTGCGCATACTTGCAAATCATTTTTCCTTTCATTTCCTTAAATATTTTCCATATCAACGAACATTTCAAACAAGATTTATGGAACTTAACGAGATATGTACCTCATTTCACACCATATCACTTTCCATATATGAGCCATTTACTGCAGATACAACTCGATTGTTGACGGGGCTAGTCAATGATAAAACAGAAGGCAAAACCTCACAGAAAACTTTAACTGACAGACTGGCTGATTAACTCACTCTGTAGCATGGAATCTTCCTGAAGAGGTGAGTCGTGAGAGTAAGATATTCCCTATTTCCCTACTTTTATTTTTAGGTTATTTAACGACTCTGCTACAGTTGCAGAGGTTATGCAGCTAAAATGAGATGGAAAATTGAATAGTGAATAAGAATGGATTGGATTGGTTCATTTCAAGATATTATCCCGGCATTTGACAATCCTCGGTCAGGATAGGCGATAACTCTTCCGAAATTCGACCCAGGTGTATCCTGAACACAGTTATAGATCGTTACTGTTAGGCTAAGTGGCTCGATTTTTTTTTCTCATGGTTCCCTACGGTTTATCACGGTGTTCACAACTTATTTGTCAGTCAAAGATTCATTTCAGTCTGGTCGTCTCTTCTACTCTTTAAGTCCATAAATAATGGAACATGATGTTACAAGTATTTGAGATATAATGTAGACAAGAATCTACTAAATACAACCAGTCGCCACTGAGACTGGTGCTTTACTGCATCTTGGCGTGAGAAGAGCAACTTCGTGACATCATGTCTTATGTGGCTGAGCACGAGCTGAGGCAAGGAAAAAGAGAAAGTCTTGTGATCTAACGGTTCCTGAAGAAGACTAGCTGTGGGTGAAAAGCGGGTGCAGCCAAGTATGATAGGTCAAGGCAAGAGACTTCCTGCTTTGTCTCCATGCTGATCAACTAATCAGCTAACTAGCTAATAGCTAATTAACTCCATAGAACAGAGCCCTTCTTGAGAGGCTAGTAGTTGCTCAGTTAGTCAAGATATTCCCCACAGTTAGTGGAACCCAAATGTTCATTACTGGTTCCAATTCTGTGCCAAACGAATTCAGTCCACACTCTGCCACCCTATTTCTTTTAGGTCTCTTTCAATGGTAAGAATTAAAACTACAGTAAGTGAAATGAAAAAAATACTGCAATAGGTTGACTTGTACATTTATATTGATTAACAATGTAGTTTTAGTTGAACTTGTATAAACAGTTAAGCACACACAGAATCACGAGACTTAATAAACATTAATAACATCGTTATTTACACTGTTGTTGGGGATATCGGAATTGCTTTTTAATGGAAGTTCTATAGGCAATTTTTTATAAGAGCAATATTTTATTTAAATATATATTTGCAGAATTTTAATATTCTGCACATTCACATAGAACATTAAAAAATCTGCAACTTCAACCAGAACTACAATGTTAACCAAAAGAAACATGCAAGTCAGCCCATTGTAGTATATAATGTAGTATGGAGTATATATTGGCCGCGCCATAGCGCAAGCAGTTAGTCACCGTCTTCCCACCTTGGCAACCCGGGTTCAAACCCGGGTCTGGTGAAGTGGGATTTGTGGTGGACAAAGTGGCGCTGGGGTAGGTTTTCTCCAAGTACTTTGGTTTCCCCTGCTAATCTTCATTCCACCAAATTCTCCATCATCATAATCAGCCGGGGCAGGTACAATAGGCCAATCAATGACCGCCATGCTGAGTGGACCCAACTGGACTCCACCCCCCACTATGCAAATTAAAATGGAGTATATAACACACCAGTTGATCCTCTTGGCTTACATGTAAATCTACATTAAGTGTGCACGTATGATACATTAGTATAAACAGAACCTGAAGATGCCACATGTGTCAAAACATGTCATCTTAGTCAGCAGCCCCATCTGCTGGAAATAGTATTGTGTTCACAAATAATACAATAAATACTATCAGAATATTGTCTTCTGGAATATGATGCTTTGTAGGTCAGCAGAAGTTCACAGACATTTTGTAGAAATGTACTGCCCCCTTCTTCATGCTTGAAAGGTAAGCTGAACAAGAAACTATTGAGAAGCAATCAAAATACTCTGTTCTAAAATGTAGGATTCCTTGAATGGAAGATCATACCACCATAAGAGCTAGTTCATCACTTAACAATACAAAGAAATATGGGTAAATTTTCAGTCCGCTGTTGTGGTTTTTGATACTGGCTGTTATCGGAATCCTATTGACTTATTGACATGTCAGTGACTTATGAATCACCTCAGAGCAATGTTCATGTTCCATAGCAGTCCTAGGAGATACAGACTTGTTCATGCAATATACTCATAGTAACACAACAGTTACTGCACTGAGATATGTACCCTTAATGAAGGCAAATATGTGATGGTGGTGTTGCGTAAATAATGAAGCTTATGAGAAATGTTACTTTTAAACGAATGTCATAGCTAGGTTTCTCGTTCTGGGGGACAGAGAGAAGAGTGTGGCACAGAACCCAAATATTCAGCACTGCTAAGTAACTGATTCTGATCCTGATTCTGCAGGTCTTCACAGGATAATGGGATCAGGCACTGATATATATGGGACAGTCATATCTCTATGGTATAATTGGGGATGCTTCTTGATCTGTGTTACATTAGTTCATCTGCTGTTTCAGGATGAAGCTGCAGCAGCTGGAAGTCATGAGAACCAGCCAATGTACCAGCATCTGGTGGACAACAAAGCTGAGAACAGTATTGAAGAGGAAGACGAAGACAAACAGGAAGACAAGGACGTGCCACATCAGCAGTCACAAACACAGACACAGCAGCCTGAGGTTGAACACACTGTGTCACCAAACCACACACCGATACAGATCAGATTGCCACTGCAGTTGGACTTCGATGATCTGGCTGGCGTAAGTTTGCATGCAGCTAATATAAAAATGTAGCAACTGATGGGTCAGATTATTCAACAGTAAGGAGTGAAGTGTTCCATACTGAAATAAGCAGAATTTATAGCAGCACTGGTTGTAATTTACTAGTGTTGGCACTTGTTTGTTAACAGATTTAGAGTTAATTCAGCCTAACTAGTTACAACAGTCTACACATTACAAAAATGAAACTTAAATTTGTGATTAAACTTAAAAGTAATTTCAAATAAATTATGTAGTATAAATTTCTCCATAAAACCTCCAGTGTGAGAATATAAGAATAATTAATAGCATAATAGTATATATTTATAATATATAATAGTACAGGTATAAATTTCTCCACAAAACTTCCCATGTGAGAATATATGGTAAGTGGAGAGGGGGGCTTAATAATAATGATATTTTCAATGGGCGCACAATAGTAACATCAGATTTTTTATTAATATTGAAGAAGCTTTATGAAATAGGTGGTATCCTTTTTTCTCATTCACTGGCAACAGTGATTTATCATAAAACACAGAAAATTTATTGTTCACACTAAATGACTAACTCCATAAAATTTGTTTTGATGATATACTGATGTCAGTTTGCATTTGTTGTTTATTTTGATTTTTAATAGCTTTTAATGTTTCTTTTCTTCTTTATAGGCAATGGTAGAAAAGAATCAGAGATCTAGGATGAATTGTGTAGTGGAAAAACGTCGTGCAGAGGAAATTGTTGACCACCAGCCCCACACTATTCGATTGCCTTTTGGTGTGAATGTGACAACAGATCCACGATATGAGCATCTCTCTGGAGAGAAAATGGCAATTTATTGTGAAAGTGGCAAGGACCAGCGGTTAGTAAGAAAAGAACTTATGTCACATATATATTTCCAATATTTAACTTAATCCTTCACTAGGTTTTCAATAATTCCATTGGTGTTGAAGTTCTTCACAAATATCTTGGGTTTCATGAATAATGTCTCTTCTTGAATATAACCCAAAAGTATGTAGTCAGTCATAATCCATTTTAAAATGTGTGATTTAGCTACCCTGACCGCCTCTGTGGTCTAGTGGTCAGAGTTCCTGGCTACATATCCAGAGGTCCTGGGTTAGATTCCCAGCACTACCAGATTTTCTGAGAAGTACTGGGTCTGGAATGGGGTCCACTCAGCCTCATGAGGATAATTGTGAAGCTATTTCAAGGAAATAGCAACTCCGGTCTATAAAACCGAGATTAACGGCCGTGGCTTGCGCTGACCATGCGACACCCTCTATCCGCTGTTGATGGCACTAGCTTCGCCGACAAATGGCGGCTGCTCGGTCGGACTACAGGCCATGGAGTGTGTTTTTTTGTTTTGTTTGGATTTAGCTGCCCTAAGGATAAACTGTACAAAGGATCAACTTCTTTTTAGGCGACTGAAGAAGAGACAGAAGACAAAATATTCAGGACTGAATGATAGCTGAGATTTCTTGAGTTTAATCTGATGTTAATTTAAACACTGAAAGAATTCTGATCATATTGTGTTGTTCACAGTCATATGCCGATGGAAATGATGGCTACACCAATTGTGGTTCCCTTACCTGGCCCTGTACACCTCCCTCTTCAGTTCCATGGTCCCATGCAACAAGCTCATCAGAACAGAATTCCAGTTTCAGTTAATCACGCTGCTCAGCCTGCAGTTGGGCTTGTTCCCCCACCACCCAATCACGTTCAGCAAGTGCCTCTTCCTGTTGCCTTACCCATGCACCACATGCAGCTGCACCCCAGTCAGGTCCATGCTGCTGTCCAGGTCGCAGAGTCTCGTGAGGAACGTCCATCCTCCCAACACCAAATCCCCATTCGGGTAGAAACTCATGAGGGACGGGTCATGCATCACATTCCCATCCAAATTGAAGCCCGTGAAGGTAAGACATTCCAACAGATCCCAATTAAGGTGACTGCTCGTGAAGGCAGAGCATTTTCACGCCTGCCCATGCCAATCCATGTAGAGACACATGAAGGCCGAGCATTACCCCACCCACCTGTTCCAATCCAGGTAGAGACCCATGAAGGCCGAGCATTCCAGCCAATCCAGGCTGAGGGACATGAAGCTAGGGCCTTCCAGCCCCAACACATCCCTCTTCATGCATATATGGGTGAATCCCAAGGTTTCAACCCTGATGCTGCTGCTGCAGCTGCAGCAGCTATGCACGCAGCTGAGGGTCGTGTCTTCCAACACCAATCCCCAACCCCAGAAATGGTGAACCACCAACAGGTTCCAGTTGATGTTCCTGATCTCATGATGCAGCAGATGGAGGAGCAGCCACAGCCTCGTCCACACTGTGAGTACATACTGATACTAATAGTACATACTAATGTTAGTGGTTATTTTTGACACTAATAACTGTATCATTGTATACACGAGGAGCATTCCATATATAATGCCTCCTATTCTTTTAATGAAAACTACAACAGATACAGAAAGCATAATAACACAGTTAAATAGAGCAAGATTTCAGCTACTTACAGTTATTTTTCCACATAATTACCACCATTCGTTGTGCACTTTTGCCAGCGATGAACAGGAGCCTGTATGCCATGCCCATAAAAGTCTGTGCCAGCAGAGGCTAGCCACTTTCTTACAGCTGCAATGACAGCATCATTGTCTGGAAAATGTTGTTCATGTAGTCCATATTTCATAGGCCCAAAGAGATGGAAGTCTGAAGGTGCGAAACCGGGGCTATAAGGCGGATGTGGTAGGACAGTCCAGCCAAACTTTTCAATGTGCGCGGTGGTCGCCAAACTGGTATGGGGTCTAGCGTTATCGTGTTGCAAGCGAAAGGTTGTCTGCTTCTCTGGCCTGACTCGGGAAATGCGGGCTTTCAGCTTACTCAACGTTGTCTTGTAGCATTTAGAATTTACTGTCCATGGTCGTTATCTGCTGATCTGTACGGATAAGGCGCTGTTCATTGTGAAGATTGGCAGCTGAGCAGAGACTCCCAGGGCGTGGCTTGTTGTACACTTCACTTTTGCCACTGTTGAAACGCACTACCCTCCACCTCACTGTGCTGACATCTACTGTATTGTCTCCGTACACCTTTAGCAAGCGTCGAAGGATGTCAATGGGTGCAATTTGTTCGGCAGTGAGAAATTCAATAACACATCTCTGTTTCATGTGCATTTCTATGTCAGACGCCATTTTGGTAAACTGCTCTGCTGTCGCTATCTGTCGCATGACAACCAAACTAACAGTACATTGGTGGGAAGGTTCAACCTTTACTACAAGACCACCAACATCCAGCTCAGACCTTACATATTAATGCAAAAAAATAGGAGGCATTATATATGGAACGCCCTACATATAAATACCTTAACACATTAATATCATAGTGTATATCAGGTGACTGATGCTAACAAAATATAATAGTGCATATGTACAACATAACTTGATACACTGATGCTAGTTGATATTAACAGCATGGACCACAGATGGCTTTGCTTCTCTTCCTCCTCCTCCTTGGGATTTTCTCATTTCATTTTTTTTTCCAATTCTTGTATTCTATAATTAAATTTCTGCATTTTCCATCCATGGAGGACCCAGCAGAGTTAAGGGATGCTGAATGTTTCCTCATATTCTAGGGTATACTTAGGAATCTGTTTTCAAATGCTGGTGTAGTTTATCCTTTATGGGTTATTCTTCCAATCCTGTCTGTATATTTGTTCATTTATATGCCTTATGTGCCGGTCACGGTAACCGAGCAGTCTAAGGCATGCACTGTCTTTGCTCGCTCGGAAGCCGGGATCGTGGGTTCGAATCCCACTCAGGGCATGGATGTTTGTGTGCGTTTATCTGTGTTTGTGTACAGGTAGAGGCCTTGCGACGAGCTGATCACCCGCCCAAGGAGTCCTACTGTATGTCTAAGATCTAGAAAAACCAAAGTGAACGGAGAAGTTCATGGAGGTAGGCCTAGGCCCACTGGGGCTGTAGAGCCAAGGAAACAAAATATGTCTTATGTATTCATTTTTCCTTTATCTGATAATTTGGCTCCTATTACGACTTTTTAAAATCTCATGTTCGTTTTCTGTATTCTGTTCTTCTTCTTCTTGTTGTTAAAGCCAAATTTTCAGGTTTCACAGTTTGTTTTCAATCCACAATTGGCTGTGATTTTGTTGCACTGAATTGCAGATGTCCAGCCCAGGTCTGTGAGAAGTGTGGATGAAGTTCTTCATCGTCGTGACAAGAGAGTGCGCCGTTGTGCTTGTGATTGTGCCTGTTAATACAAATACTTGGCACATACCAGTCTGCTCTGATAGGCAATGTCATTTAGCAGAAATATATCATCATTTACAAGAAGGAAAACAGTCCTGACGAAACTTGATATAACAATTCAGTAAATAAACTTGGTTCAAAATCCATAATATTCCATTTCTCCTTTTCTTGTAAATGTGTATAATGCAACTGATGACCATATTTTAAAGAATTAATATTTCTTTTTTCAAGCCTTGTAGAAACATAGTCTCAAGTTTTAATTTTACCAATAAGAACATTTATCAAATATCTGCTTCTACTTTAAGAAAGCTCTCCAGTTTCAGCTGTAAATATTAGTGTTTTTTAATAAATTACATACATATATGGCAACAGAATTCTATCCTCAATGTTACCTTATGTGCCTCTTTAAAAAAGCTTTTATTTCAAAAGAACAGAAATGTCATGCATCAGAAATCATTTTAATTTAAATTCTGATTTGTAATCATGTCACCAGATCTATCGCTTTTAGTTCAAACATTTTATTTTTGTATGTCATGATGTATGATTTAGCAAAATGCAAGGCAAATTAAGTTATGATTATGTACAGTGTAATATTTTAACTGTTATATTTTTTACAATAGAATTTATGTCTGTGAAGTGTATTTTCCTCACAGTTTATTAGCTTTGTTAATAACATATTTGTATCTGTTGTAAATGAACATGAAAACCAATGAGGGATACAAACGACTGAAAAATAGACTGTGAAACTCTGTATACCCTAAACGTGAATTCTCAGTTATAATAAGTGAGTCAAATTGAAGTACATCATTTGGTCTGCTTCTTTTTATTCATATTTTCCTCTGTTACAAGCAGTTTTATTAAAATTACATTCATTTAATCCATTATATTTTCAGATCCAAAATATGTTTTTCAAATAACAGGCTTGAGTTAAGTACATTCATCTTCTTTTGTTCAACATACAAATAATACCTACCATATATAAACTTTAAAACAACATTGTATCTGATGAAACTGATTCAGACATTAGTTTTTATAGACTGTAAAAAATATACAAAATACAGTGGCTTATACTTCGTTTTTTCTCATTTGTTATCAAAAGAGCAAGATTTGTTAGTTTCACAATTCTTTTGTGGGATGCACCATTCAGGAAACATACAGCATATAACATGTTTAAAATGCACAGAAATGTGAACCAGTGGTTTTCAGCACCTCAAGAACATATTTTATTGTTCTCAAGCTTCTTGTTGGTACAGGAAAGTCTCTCTTAATATTGAACTACAATCACACAGTTTAGATGTTAGAGAAGTGCTTTGCTTTTTATTTTCATTTTGTATAACTTGTGATGATTTTTATGCCAGTAAATCATTATCTTCTTAGTGCAGGGACATCTCTGAAAGCTGATAATTACTCAGGTGGTCAAGAAATTCTCAGATTCTGCAGAATCACAGAGGGTTCATCAGTATGTTCATAGAAGCCCACCATTTAATTCTGTCCTTAGTTAGTTATAACCAGTCTCTCCATTCACATGCTTATTTTTCTAAGATCCATGTTCATTTTTTTCTCTCATTTATACCTAGCTCTCTGAGTGATCTCTTCCATTCACTTTTTCTGATGCCCTCTAAGTGATTCTTTCTTTTAGGTTCCCTGACCATAATTTTTTTGTAGTTTGTCAGTTCTCCCATGCATACTACATGCTCCGTGAATGCAAGTTAGTAAAACACAATTCATTTTTAATCTTTCTAAATAATTCTTTGTGAGTTCATTAAGTACAATCATCATCCTTAAAACTAAACTAAAAGGAAAGGTTGTACCAAACTGTGCTTATTGTGGGACAAACTGTGTCCCTTTGGAAGGATTTTGTCCCAAACCCAGCACATCTTGGGGGAGAGAAAGAGAGAGAGGTGGTCTGCAGCTTGTTTTATGATGCTGTTAGTGTCTCAGACTACAGAGTTGATTGGAGAACAATGAACTGGAAACAATTTGTAAGAAAATGGTCCTGGCCTATTCAAGGTCTGGAGGGATTGAGAAAACTCTCAGAAAGACCTCAGTCAAGAAAGCTGGCATTCTGGCCAAGATTCAAAACTGGCACCTCCCTAATAAAAGTCTAGAGCTCTGAATTGAGTCAAACAGCATTATCACTACACTAACCTGCCTGGATGGGGGGGGGGGTTTACATATGAAATAAAACTCATGAAGCTGCTTGTTTTCATTTGCAAGATATCATAAGATGGTTTTAAGAGTTGCTGTGGGAATTTGCAACCAGATCACCATTCTCATCTTTCATTAAGTCACTTTTAGGTTGGTAACCCCTCTCAAATTAATTTATTCCTCTATAGAGGTCTCTAATTTTCTTCTTCTTACTGTTCAATGAGAGCTCATCAATTTTGTCTCTCAGATATTCTCATTTTTTATTCCTGAAATGCCTGCTGGTTTCGCATCTTATATTGTTCAGATTATTCCCATTCATTTCACTTGGATCCTGTAATCACTGAAATCTGCCTTGTTTCCTTCGCTCAAATAATTGTGAGCATCCCTTATCAAACCATGGCTTATGCTTCAGTTCATAACAGCCTAGACTCTCTTTGGCTGAAATTTTTATATTCTCTCTAATAGTTTCCCTAAGCTCTATTTATGACCACCTTAGCCTCTAAGTTTTTCAAAGCTGCAAACCTATTTTAAATTTCGATATGATACTACTCTTTACCCTCTAGCTCATTTAATTTCTTGAGACTGAACCTCTCTATATGAAATTTGTGCATCGTGTGTTCATTCATTGCCAGTCTCTCCCTAACTTTTTTAGTGGTCAGTATCACAATCTGCTGCCTTGAACAACAACAACAACAACAACAACAACAACAAGTATGCTTGAATGCTGTCTCACATTTATCGAAATATGGTCTATTTGATTGTAAGTCTTTCCATCAGGACATGTCCAAGTAAACTCATGAATATTACGATGTGGGAGCATTGTACTTTCGACAGTCAGACTTTTGGAAATAGCAAAATTTTCTACTTTAACTCCATTATCACTATTGATTTCGTGTGAACTCTCATTCCCAATCGTTGGTTTGTAAATGTCTTCTCTATCTACTATGGGATTGAAACCTCCTAACAAAATTTTCATATGGTATTTAGGGAATTTATAGAATACAGATTCTAGTTCTTTGTACAACCTGTCCTTCATACTATCAATTTTATCCTCTGTTGGGGCATGAACATTCAGAACAATTATATCACACCAATGACCTTTTGGTATTATGTATGACATCCTATCACTAACAAACTCTACCATTTTAACTTCTGATATGATTCTCTTATGTATGAAAATACTGTATCTAAGTCGATTCTCATTCCCCTTTCCATAGAAAAATGTATATTCACCTGTTGGATTGGTTCCACCTCTGTCCCATCTGACCTCCTGTATACTCACTAAATGTAACTTATATTTTGATAGTTCTTTTGCATCTGCCATGAGCAAACCCACCCCATACAGACTTCTAACATTCCATGTAACAAATCTCATATCCATTTTCTTTAGCTTAGGTTATGTATCCAAAGAATTCATCCAGGTCTGAGGACCTCCATGACATTTTGTAACAAGCTTATTTTTTATGGTGTGGAGTTGTAAGCCCCACACTCAAACCTCAAGAGCCCACCCCTTGTTGGCTGTCCACGAATACTTATTCAATATATGTGCAGCTACCCTACATATTTGGAGGACATCTCCTCTAACCTCAACCTAAGGACGCCCTGTGGTGACACGGGACCCACCTAACATGGATGCTGTAATCATACTCACAGGAAATTCTAAGCAATTCTATGCAACCTTGAAGAAGTTTGAAGAGTTCTGAATAACTGTATAATTTAATTGATCCTAACTTAGCCTAAAAAATCCCAGACATGTGCTGTCTTTTGCCCAGACAAATTGCCTGATGCTATTCTGACCAAGTTCTAAATGTATGAAACAAGCTGTAACACAAGGAGTTTATTAAAAATCGTTTATAAAGATGAAATATGGTATATAAAACTGCACTTCTTCCATTCTTTTTATTGAGTGTGAAACTTGGTCTCTTACCGAAATATGAATGCATATTGTGACATGTTGCGCTATGGCACGGCGTCCGAGGAACAACTTCAATAAATCTTGGACCCGAGGACATTATGTATCCCGGATGAAGTTCGCTGCCACCTGCAGGAAGGGATTCTGTCGCACGACAGTGGATTGACATTGCAGAAATGCCTTCAAGAAGGAAACAACCCAGGAACCTTCGAATGCCAGAGAAAGGAATTGACCGTCGCAATTGTCTACACCATCTCTGCAAGCAGCCTTATGACCAGTCTCAACCATTGCGGGGTGCCCGTAGCAGCGTAGAGAAATCAACAGTGGGCACTGTTGTGCCACTGTCTCGTACCAGCAAGCGGCTGGAAGACCATGAGGAATGATGACGTCAGCAAGTGCGGACCACATCTGAAGTGCTGTTACGTCGACATACAGAATATCTCAGGGAAGACATAAACAAGGATTGGACACTGTGGAGGTGTCGACGCCCTCCAAAACGAAAAAAGGGAAACAGCCCGTATGGGGAGGAACCGGCCTCTCAAGAAAGAGTGCATGTGCGACGAATGAGTGTGACACAAATGGATCTTCTGGCAACTTAGCAGGAAACCCCTCGAGACGAGCTGGTCTTAAGAGGGGAGCGGTTGTAACGGAAGGAGAATAGTCACTGCAAGGAGTAGCCGAAATAACAGGACACGCAGAACGCCATCCTTTGAAGAAAAGGAACGGGGGTGCACCGTTAGGCTATTCGGGACGAACAGCCTCAAGGAGGGAGCAGTGTGAAGTGTTGCGCTATGGAGGACACCCCCTCCCTCCCCAGCGGCAACGTAACACGAGATGCCGCCGTTGCTACTCAGCAGTAAACGACTCCTGACAGCGTTGCTAGGCTGTCGGCAAACACGGCGTCAGACAACAGTGGTGCCTATTACATAACTGTTTTCTGTGTTGTCCGTAACGGGGCTAAATAAGGAGCAGCGAAGACTATTCAAGTTAGTTATGAGTTAGTTACGAGTTAACCGGCAGTGAGTCAGTTGTAGTGTAGCCTTCGCAGGCCAAGTAATCGTAATACTGCCGATGACAGTAATTGTGAGATTGTAAACTGTGTGATTGCACGAGCGAGTGTGAAATAAAATGCGCTACATCCAATTCGGCGTGAAGTTATTTGTCGCGTTATACATCCAACACGTGACAATATTAGGGATATTTGTGTGAAGAATATTTAAAAAGTAAGCTACAGGCTTCTGACTGTGGTTAGTAGGCATGATTAGGATTATTATTTTGGATGCTGTGCACCATCTTGAGATCTTTCAAACCACAATGTTTTGGAAACTGGATGTTCTCAAAATGTTGTAGTTTGAAAAACACAAGGTGATGGATCATGCCCACAATAACTCATAGTTAAAAAGATATGTGGGCCTAAAAAAAAGGAACCAACAAAATTATGGAGAAGTACATAATGGGCAGCTTCATGATTTGTATAGATAAGAAAATATTACAGCCTCCAAATCGACGTAGGTGAAATGAGTGCAACATGTAGGATGCACTAAGGCAGGTGAGTGGTTCTGCTTCATGCCCCTAACCCTTTCAAGCCCGAAAATCAAGCTGGCGGTGTCCATTGGATAGGAGTCTGGATGGGCGCCAGAGCCGGCCTGGATGACGTGGTGAAGAAAAAAAAATCTCTGTAGATAAGAAGTGCCTACATTTTAATCTTAGATCGTGTTTTGGAAAACGCCTCATGGGATCTGTCAGTCTGATATAACTGATGGCCTCTATAAAATTTACCATTTCGATAACCAAGTAACTGATCTTAAGGACAACCGTTGTAACGGGTTTATTTCGTAAATTTATACCACAGAAGGACATGCCTCAATCATTGGAAATATACTTATTTATGAAACTGTACGGCCTGTACCATATTGCCACACACTTTATGCACATTGATGCACGATCCGTGGCTGCACGAAGACTATAGATCAGGTAGGTCTATGCACGGGTCATTGATCAGCTCTATGACACC